AACTGACCCAAACCCAAACCCAAGTCCAGGACTTGGGTACCCAATACCCAAACCCAAGTCCGAGACTTGGGTACCCAAACCCAAATCCAATACACCCAAGTCGCTTGGGTTTGGGTTTGGGTTTGTAGCATACCTATTCGGCACTATATAGCCCATTGTGACCAAAATGATTCTTCAAAGATTATTTTATTCTTGAATACTATTCAAAACAACGCATGCAAATAGAACTGTGTCACCAACAAGTGGTTTCACACGGTAACGTTATAAAAACAAAAGAAATTCAAAAAGCAAGAAGAAATAAAAAGAAAAGCACCAATTAATTTCCTTCCTCTCAGCATCAGTTGTTTTACATATTTTACCCTAAATATGTATTTCATTCATCGCATCACTCTACTTAACATTTCTCAATAACTTTATTCTCCAGATTTATGAAATTTTTCTAAAGAAGTATAGCCATTATGGTGCAAGAAGTCGAAATACTTAACATACTCTAGTATCTTCTTCTGTCGAAAAAAATGCTAACCACAAGTAAGAAATGAATCCTATGTTATCAACACGTACAACAGCCTAACGCAAGATTTCGTTATAAAACTAAATAGGAAGAGAGACTCATCAACCTCCTTCCATCAGGTGCTTTTAAAAATCAAAAATTTGGCGAATATTTCTGAAAATAAAACTGAGAAATAGGTATAAGAGATTGTGATGGTTGTATCTTTCTAATAACAGTACCCAGCAAGCCCAAATTTTAGAGAAATAAAGATGTATATCTGCAGTACATACAGGACTGTTGCTATGTTTTCAGCATCAGTAGTTCATGGTAAAATGCAATCTATTCATCGGTTTCAAAACTCAAGGCTCACTCTTTAGATGACATTTTTCATCATATCTTTCGTGTGAAAAGCAGAAATTGTATCCTTTTTATACCTCTAATAAAGCACAAAAACGATCTTCCGCAAAGCAAATATAGCGATGAGAAAAAGGGTATATTTTCTGGCTTTTCGACCAAGCTCAAGTCAGATATAATGGGAGATGTAGAATGGGCGAAAGAGACTACCTGTAGAAGAAGAGAGATCCAACAAATCGATCTCAAGAGCTCTGTTCCTGCACATGTATCTCATCGTAACTTAGCATGAAACTTGACGGATCACATCCTACCGGTCTTTTCTTCGGGATGTAATCCGCCGAAGTTATAATGTCAGACGTCGTCGAATAAATGAAATATATCTGAAAGTAAACAATAAGCAAAAAGCATGAGGCAATGCGAACAAAGAAAGTAACTAGGGAATCATTCTAGTCGTAGAAAGCCAAGAAAGAGAAAGCATATCTGCATAGGAAGCGTTTTTTAGCATCTAAAACTCAAGGTAGTCGAAAAGTCGTAGAATCAAAACCTTTTCGAAAAATAATTTTTAGTTTCTCCACGTGCGCGCACTTTTCTTGGGTTTTTTCAAAGAAAACGGATACCAGAGCTGTTCTAAATGTACCGTCTGCGGCTAAAAACCAAAGAGTTTCCGCTTGAGCGACGTTTTAATTCTGGAATGTTGTAAAACAAACGTTGAAGATCAAGGAAAACGACAACTTGTCGCCAATTTAAAAGAAAAATGTGAACAGTGGGGATTAGAATATGCACGTTTATTTGTAGTCGATCAAACCACTCCTTATATACATGTTTTTACCAGTCACCTCCATGAATTTTATGATCAGTTTAATAATTTGAACACATTTAGTTTTCAAGGTGTTGAAAGACTAAATGAATTATTGACCCGTGATTATTTTGGTGGAACGAATATAAAAGGGGAATATTTTCAGCAAATGATCAAAAAACGACTATGCCAAATGGTATTACCGGTGACCAGGACACAACTGATCCACATACGCCAAAGTTTCGAAAGTTGTACTAAATCATTTGGCGATTATGAATCTTCTGATAATAAAAACTCTGATGATGATTTAACTGATGATTATTATTATTACGAATCAGATCAAGAGATGTAAGTGATCGCAAAAGTATAAAATTTTCACTCTGCACAATAATCTATACTCTCGACTTGTATTTATTTTTTCCATCCTTAAAATAGTTTATTGACAGTGATTGGTATGATTGATTTAAAGGGAATCTGTCGACAAAAACAATCCGTTACTACCGTCATCAACTAATTTATATCCAAAATTAGATATACTTTCTTTCGGTGAGCCCACAAAGCTGCCATTAACAATTCCGTCTCGCAATGTTATCGATCCATCCGATTTTTCAGATGACGATATTAGCGATAAAAATATTAAACTTCCAAAAGTAATATTACGTATTAATACATCATATATTGATAACGTAAGCATCAACTGGCCCGTCTGGGGCATAGAAAATTACATTTTCCAACATCGATCATATAATATAGTTAATACATATAATCTAGACACCGGTCTTTTTCTTATCTATTATATATACAATTCCTCAGAAGTTGTTAAACGGTACATGTCAAACAACGCCAATATAGCAATATGTGAACGACTACAACGAACATTTAATATTATAACAGAAAAAGGATGGAATGAAGCCAGAATCCAATGGCTGCTGGAAGTAAAGTTACTGAAACCAACGCAACAAACATTAGATATTTTTGATAGTCTTGATGATGTTGTATTTAATTCAAATTAAATACAAATATTCAAAAATATATTATTAAACATATCCAAGAATATAGCTTTGAAACAGAATGTGTCCACAATGACTGTCCGAACAAAAACAAAATTAGAGAAAATCAGATAGAAATTTCTCTTAAGTAAGTGGCAAACTACTATCGAAGCCGAAATACAAGAGCAGTGGTTATTTTTTTAATAACTCGGCATCAAATAAAGATAGAGACTTGTGGTTTTCACCATTCGATAGACAAAACTTGAGACTATCTTTCCACAAGCAAAGCCGATTTTTGGAAAATTTTGTGGTTTCTAGAAAGGTTTCCTAGAAACCTCTGAAACTGGAAGAATATGATATGATACTGAAAGAATTGATTTTACGTACAGAATCAGAAAACGTCCATTTTTCGCCCTTGTGGTGCGTTTAAACGCGTTCTCACCCAAACACGCCCACTTTTTCTAGATTTTTCGTCTTTTTTTATGCGCTTAAACGCGTTTTCGAAAAAGTTTGTCTGCTTGGGTGGAAACGTACCTATTTATCTAGCTGTTGTGGCGTACCGAGTGAAGACGAAGAGATGTTTTTAGTAGCTTGCGAATTATAATCAATTTCATTTGTGATGACTAATTGACTGAGTACTTCTTCTTGACGAACTGTTCCAAAAATTCACTTGGTGTTGCTGGTTTTGTCGTAAAACTTTTATTAATGGCGGTTTTAATCCTTGTTGTAGACGATCAAGTTTAGACGAATCCGTCATTTTATTATCGACGGTATTTTAACAGCGACTGATTCATTCCATCCTTTTTTTTTCATCTGATCTTATACATCAAAGCATTGCGAATGTTGTTTTATTTACATTGGAAAGTGCTCTTTTGTGCTTTCTTGCACCTTCCTTTCCGAGAGTGGTGCAAACTGAGTTTTTAGTCACAACATTACTCATGAACACGAGTTTGCTTTCTTGGAACAAACCAAATTATTTGAATGGAAATAAAGTAAAAGAAGCAGTATATATATATATAAATGCATGCTTGCATGTGAATGCGTGTTTGCTTTCTTGGAGAAAACCAAGTGACTTTGTTGAAAAGAACAAACAAGTCTTCTGGCTCATTTACATTTTCAAACCTGAATCGAGAAGACGCTATTGAGACGTAGTATTGAGACAGCATTTTCGAAATTTTCAGATTATGCTGTACATCAGTTTAATCAATAACATATATCTAACGGCTCGTTGCATATATTTTCGAAAAAAAATTTTTTCTTTCGTAAGGATTCCTGGTACCTTCGTCGCCCACCAACTGTATCTATACGTTGCCCTATACGAAAAGATGGGCTGTCTTAACGGCACTTTCTATTCTCTTGTCTCTCATATGATTCTGAGTAAACGGTTTTCTCTGATATTCAGTCCGCGAACTATTGTCATCTCATTCTCAAGAGTTTTTTGGACACCCGGGTTTTCATAGACTGTCTGGTAACTCTTTAGAGGCGTTTTGCAGGCCTTGCGAAACCTCGTGCACTTCTAGATCCTATCCGATCACTAACATTTGACTTGTATTTCAATTCTGTCCGACCAATTCAGTCAGGTAAAGTTAGAATTGTGACTTTAAGTAATGGTCTTTGACGAACTTTGAATTTAAGGAGGGAAACTCAAAATTTCAATTTTGCCTAGGAACCATTGGATGAGAGAAACAACAAGTTATGTTCAATGGATGTCTCTGATTTGCTTCTAACTAGTCCTGTCTTGTTCGGCATGTATGAGAACCTATGGATCCAAATTTTGAGCCTTCTAGGACTTTTACTTTCTGAGTTCTGAGTGGCTTTCTAGAGTGCGCTCAATGGAAAATTCAGCGTCTAAAAAATGGAGAGCAGAAATAAAGATTGTGATTCTGAAGAGCTGTACACAATCAAACCCCTCCTAGCTCTCCAGGATGTCTCACTGCAAATTTCGTAAGATCCAGAAGATCGTAAAGTGATAACCACTGATGGCTTGCTACGATCTTCATGTTTCAAGACACCTTTTATGAATAGGTTAGACGAAAAATTTCGTTTTTTCTGTGGTAGGAATATGTATCAAAGGCATCAAAATGACGGTAACCTAATTTTGAGAAACTGAGTGGTGGAATATGCTGATGTCCCTCGAACACTTCTAATAGTCATGCGCACCATCCCTAATGTCAACATCGACGCCTTTGTAATTGATCTAATTCCGCTGGAACGTCACCATATGCTTGGTCGTGAGGGTGAGGGTGCGGTGGTAAAAAGACATTGCGACGCGATTTTCCTGGCAAAGAGTTTGCTTAGACTATAATTCCGTCAAATCAGATGCATATGAGGTAAAATTTTGACCAGAGCTATCTTGGTATGAATACTATCGATGATAAAGATTTCGGCTTATTTGTTTCAGTAATAGTTTATTCTGTATACATCGACAAAACGTCATCGGCTGCTTTTGCAAAGAGGTTTTTACAATCGAAGATGGGGTCTCTATGGTTTCGGCCCAGAGTATTACCGTAAATCGTCGTCGAAGTTTTGCGGAAATGATGGAAAACAGTCGGGGTCCTCTTGTCAAAAACGGTCACCGCAGCTCGGAATAACCTGAAACTTTTTTGAAACATAAGCTAGAAAGAGAATTTTACGCGAATTCCAAACGTCACCTTATTTTTGAACGATGACCTTTCCCTCACTCTGCGGCCGCAATTCTTTTTTACCAGCTTTTAAAATCATATAATTTTAAAGTTGGTAGAAAAGGATTTAGCTGCCACGGACGGAAAAAAGGGTTTATTTTAAAAGAATAAGGTGATATTTGNACCAGCTTTTAAAATCATATAATTTTAAAGTTGGTAGAAAAGGATTTAGCTGCCACGGACGGAAAAAAGGGTTTATTTTAAAAGAATAAGGTGATATTTGGAATCCTCTTTCTAGTTCATGTCTTTTGGTTTTCCGAAAAAGTTTGCAGAGGCAGAATATGGAGGCGACCCGAAAACTTTTCGGAAAAATCGAAATTTAATGTTAAAAATCTGCGGTTAGCGTAGATCGATAGAAAATTGAATTCAATTACCAGCTTTTAAAATCATATAATTTTAAAGTTGGTAGAAAAGGATTTAGCTGCCACGGACGGAAAAAAGGGTTTATTTTAAAAGAATAAGGTGATATTTGGAATCCTCTTTCTAGTTCATGTCTTTTACTTTTCCGAAAAAGTTTGCAGAGGCAGAATATGGAGGCGACCGGAAAACTTTTCGGAAAAATCGAAATTTAATGTTAAAAATCTGCGGTTAGCGTAGATCGATAGAAAATTGAATTACCAACATAGCACTTTGGAAAAAAATGTTCAGGATACATTCCTCTATCTGCTCTGTAAATTGGAGAAAAACTTGTGAAAGTTCATTGAGCAACTTAGTTTGTCCCTATTGTGCACTGTCTCCTAGAGGTTAACTCATCAAAACCATAATTTTCACGCATCAGAATTAATTATTTGTGATAATTTCTTTTTTTATGGTGTAGTCCGAACTTTGTTCTCTCGAATGGTATAAAAATCAAAACTTCTTGCTCTCCGATAGATAAAGTATTATTGATAGATCACATACAGTTGTCTAACGAGTAGAAAGATAAACATCCAAAATCGGCTTTGTACGCTCTTTGAAGAAGCATTATGACGTGATGCCGTCGTTGTTATAATCGATGTTATTATGCTTCTGGTTGAATTGCGAGTAGTATTCATCGAGCTCGGTGATGTATTTGTACGTTGTCCGGATGAGAACGGCACGATCGTTGTCGTCACTGTGGTGGCCGCCGAAGTGGTGTAATTATAGTGCAAATATTGGGCAAAGTTCATACTAGCAGCACATCTTGATATATCTCGATTGCAATTGGTCGTTAGGCAAACGCAAAAAATTTCAGTAAACGGTATATAACCAAAGTAATTTACGAAATGGACCGCGAATGTACTTGTCGCGGTTTCTCCAAAAGCAATTCCCATCTGCTTAAATAACAGGATATTGGTGAGACTAAGTTCTACGTCCTCCCTTCGGAGCGGAAATTGATACCAATCACCTGTATCTGCATTCAAGTACAGGGCACATGCAACCGCGTTGTTCGACAAATAATTCATATAAGCCTGGTCGTCGTAGAGCATATAATCCCGTGTAACATTGAATATATTAGGATAAGTAGGGCCCGAATAGGCCTGTCCATAGCACGGAATAATAGTTGAAGGTTGAGGCATGACAAAGGGAAAATTCGCAGGAGGCGCGGAAGACGCTCGAACACTCGCCATACATGTACGATAGTCACCATTGCAGTAGTTTGATGAACATATGCAAAAGTACCTCGATATTATCCTCGTCTCGTACGGGCCTACACTACAAGAACCGTATCCGATTGGAGTAGATGAAGAGAATCCACAGTTTTGCCGAGTTTGTACTTGATAATAATTATATCCAACCAAATCCACTACGGTAACAATAGCGATAACACTTCCATTAGAAAGAGTACCCGTAACACCCATAAATACACAAAAGTCGGCAGGAACTAAAATTCAACTTTCAGGGAATAAAACATCTGTATGCAGCTAGCACACTGTTAGCAGTAAAACATTTTTCAACAAAAGTGTTAGTGATGAATGCTGATGATCGACCGCATACGTTATCACGAAACACAATTATTGGAAGAATATCGTATCTTACTCCTTCTACTATTTGCACCATTTTACCGAAACCGACGCCAATAAACACGGAAAATACTAGAACGCATTCCACTACGAACAATCGTTGTCGACAATGTTATCAAAACTTTACATCGCGTAGTCAACTACATATTCATCTTCAAGAGAATTGTCATTCACAAGAAATCAGGGACGGAATTGAACAATTGACCTCACATCTCAATGCAGATCAAGCCAAACAAGTTCAGAAGATTATGTGGCGATATGGGAAATTGTTCGACACCCAACAACCGTCTGTTATT